CCGAAACGTTGTAAAACTACCTCAGAATAAAGAGTTTGCCAGTAAAGTCGATTCCACACTTAACTATATATTTCTTAATTTCTCAACTGGCGTTGACATATCTGCTTTTGAATTAATATATCCTCATTCTAAGAAACGTAAATATCTCTCCTAAATTTTTATGTCGAAAAAAGTGCAATTTTTACGAAGCATTTTGATGTTGAAAAGAGGTACTTAAAATACTCTTGAAAATCAAAAATTTACCACACTCGTAAGCAATTTGTCAAGTTCAGCTTTCACAGGTTCTGATAATTCTGCAAAGTGGTTAGAATTTCATTCTCAAATACGGGCGCGTCTAAGCATTAAATTTTCTCCCACCCAGCTTTTATTTTCTCCTTCTGAACAGCTTTGAATTTTGCTTCTTATCGTTTCAACGTTTGCGTTAACTGGTTCCCAAGTTTAATTTCTCTTCGGGACAATTCTCGTTATGAGTCATGACACCATCGCTAGTTTCGTACAAGTGAAATTAGTGAATTTGTTCTTGTCTGGCTCGATTCCCCGATCGTACTAACTCGATTATTTTTACGATGGCAGTAAAACGTTATCTGTAGGTCGCTGGTCAAAATTCATAGGTCAATCGACGGAAAGAGATAAGACGTGGGGGTTTCTCGTGTGCGCCGATAAACGACGCGACGACTGACATGTAACAAAGGTTGAAGGAGAGGTGGTTGCACTTCAGAGGCTTGCTACCTACCGAGAGTGCGATCATTTTTGCCCAGGCTGTATATCGGCAGTTTCGGATCCGCTGTGTCGACGGACCATCCGTGATTTGCAGACGCCGTATCCTTACGGAGGCAAACGGCCTCGAAATAATCGGTAAAACGTGTATCCCCATCTAAATTACTCTTAATAATATAAATGGTATACGAGAGGAAAAATATCATTAGATATTTTTAATAAAGAGGAGGAAAGGATAATAAAACAGTAACACTATGAAGGCCGATAGCGAGAGATCAGTAATAGAGAAAAAGAATTTATCTCGCGTTATCTGGTAACGTTTCGTGAACGTCGCGCGTTAACGTGTTAAGAGTTCGACATCATCTTTGTGTACAGTATCTGAAGAAAGGAGGTCGAGAGACTAAGGATCGAAGATCGGGCGGGGATTATGTCTTGACTGAAAGTGAGTCTGAGAATAATTACTTAGAGATATTGAGGAGCATGACCATGACAGCCGTGGGCGTGTCAGCAGACAATAAATAAATTTCGAAGATAAAAAAATCTCTTTGATGTATTACGTCAGCAATATGTTCTTTCAATTCTATTAGGAGACGTCCTCCAGACGTATGACCTGTACCTACTCTGTTTTAATTGCCTGACAAAGGCAAAGAGATAATTTCTGTTCACATTCAATTAGAAGCCAGCCGTAAGAATCAACAATTACTTCTTGACTACTAACCAAATGGCAATTATTCTTTAAGAAACGTATGTTTTACTATGATATTGTGGTAATACAAAAATATCTAATTTGCATGTCCTATCGTTCATTATTAAACAGGTTTTAGCACTACTTTATTGTTGGCTTATTGTTGGCTGGCTATCTTCATCTCGTGAGTTCTAACCATAGACAAGGAAGTGTCTATAATCGATGCGTACGAACTGCAAAATCAGATTACTTCCATTCGATAAACCACTGTCGCGGTTCGACCATGCGGCGATAACTCATTGACGTTGATGTAATCATGTTTATGTATCGCAACGTAAGAAGGCTAACAACAGTTTCCTTTAATAATATGATCTTCCTTTTTATTGCGCTACTCGCTATTCTCAAATTTATTAGATAGCTTCATCGTAGAGCTTTATCAGATCAAGTACTTCATGTTCGTAATGTACAAATGGTAGTCTCTGCTTGCGCATACAAATCGTGCCTTTGGTTACATGCATTTTTATTCGAGATGGCAGATGTCCTCCATTTTTATGTATGTGCATTCTCCTTGAAACATGAATGCAACTAACACGAAATATGTGACTAATAACACATACTCAGCAGACAAGCGAAAAGTTCAATTTAACGCCATTGGCTTAATTGGTAGGAATAAAGTTGAAGTATGCTGCCAAAGTGTCCAAAGAAATTTCACATACGTTCCTTCTAATATTTAAGAGTCGAAAAAAATTCAAAAAATTTCATGATTTTATTTATTCTTCGTATATATTGCACTTTAATATTAAACAACATTTCTACATTTTAATATACATATAGCAAACATAATAACGACTTTACAAAGTATACACGTTAAATATATCTATTGGACCATCTACAGCATACACCAACCATATTGGCTACCTTATTTCCTGTTGATTTATATCAAAATTGATACAATTTAAACCTTTATTATAATTTATAAAATTTTAATGTATAATGTAGCATATCATAAAAATTTATTAGAACATTATTACATGTCTCTTTTTAAGGCATGTTTTTAAACGTATTACTTTATCTACGAATATATTAACTAAAAATAGAAAAACAAAGTAAAAATAAAAGAGTATTTAATTTATATATTATTTTCTGTATATTATTTGTAGAGCTTTTCTATGTTTCTAAAAATAATCTTTACATGAAAATATTTATATAATTTTAAAATTTTTTATATAAAGACTTATAAATATGCAAAATTGCATTTATTATAAATAGGAAATATATAAAGATTACGTTTTTCTAATATTACTTGTAATAATTTCAAACAATTTTTTTCTAAAAAAATTTACTTATGTTAATTAAGTAAATAATTATATAATCATTTATTCATGAATTTAATTGCACAAGTAAATATTAAAACAAGTATTTAATATTAAACGAATATATTAAATATTTATGAGTAGCTTTTCACGGATGCACGCATGCACGCAACATACACAAAATTTACATACACAAAAGTTTTCAATAATTGGAGCACTATTGCGACAGCATATTCCTGCGACCAAATCAGGTAAAAAAAAGTTCTGTACTACTTTTCCCTCCGACAAACAGTTGTCGAGATATCATAAGCTAAATATTCAAAAAGTTATCAACTTTCTCTTGAATATCTCAAAAAGTATTAGGCAAATCAAAAATGTTTCAGACAAAACTTGTTCATATCAATCAGTAGAATAAGATAGCATAATAAACAATAGGGGGTTCCATTAAAAAAAGTTTATGTAACTTTCACCTGACCTTGCCGACGCCACCCAAGGTCAAACTGATAACTTCAGTAAATAGATCTTTTTTAGCCTTGCAACTTTTATACGAAACGTTTTTCTCGAAAATGCTTTGTTTTCGAGTTATTTCACCGTCCCGGTATTTTTTACTCACCCTGCATGTACATGCTCATTTATGTCATCAATAAATTTAATTTTGACAAAGGATGCATTTACGTGACTGATTTTCTATAATATTTACGAAACGGTTTAAATGTTTGTTCTTTTTGCAATTATTATTTCTACAAACAGTAAATAAGAACAGTAACTTCACGATAGATCACAAAAATAAAGCTTTGCAAACCAGACGAACCCACAGTGATGAAAGAATTTAACTCATTCCGTGTATTACTGATATCCCACGCTGAAAGTTTTTGCTTAAGCCGTTTTATATCACTTTATGAAAGTTATATATCAAGAAAAGCGTAACATTTGCGTTCTCTTTGATAGAAAATTGTTTAAAGAAAAAGCTTAAATCAACTTATAAATTTTTGGCTCATAAGTTTGTGCATTTCGTTAAGCCGCAACAGTGTCTAATAACTTTTATATAAATATGTCCGAGGCACATGCGTCATTAAAATATGTAAAAAATCGATATATACACAATATAGATTATACCAGTAGTCCACGTGGCCTGGATGCCAAGTTATGTACATATGACGCGATGAAGAACGTGTCAAGTCAACAGAAGGCCAAAGTCTTCCCACGTGGTCACATTTGATCCACGCAGCGACCAATTTGTTGGGCTGGTAACGACGAGGGGGACCATCTGAAAGGGAACAAGGCGCGGTCGCCAGGGCGCAAGGGACAGAGACGATCGGAGGAATAGCTTCCCTAAGTAGAGGGGATAACAGACGATACTGCCTGTTGATTCACAGTGCTCGTCAGTAATGAACGCGTCATATGGAGAACCGGATCGCAGACACGCGCGTAGAGTGTTAGTTCCTAAGTTCAACGGATATTGTAGTCATTTTTCTTGCTTATCTGTAGATTAGTGTTAGTTTCTCGCTTTAATGTCAACGTGGAAAGAAGCTGTAACTTTGATAACTTGTTCAACAACACGTTCCTGCATTAAAAAGTAGGTTTTAAAGGAAAACGTTTCGATTTTGAAATCAGTGTACAGCAACGTAGTGTGATTATAAAATAGATATTTCGATAAAAATTGCGTTTCAGTAAAAATTACGTAGATTGTAAATAATATTACTTATTTGCATATTTTCATTTACATAGTGCAACACATATGTAGATGTTATTAGAAAATAATGTTATTTTATCATCAAGAGTAAGTACGCAATCAAAAATATGATTCGAAAATATATATAATTTGCGATTTATATTAAAAGTATTAGCTCCATAAAAATTACTTATTGCAATTACAGACTGCAACTGAAGTGTTTTAAACATATGCTTAAAGCGGACATTTATTTCAGCCTAACAAAGTTCAATTGTTGATCGTTAACACATTTGAATAATCGCAATTATTTTTGCTTTCTAAGAAACATATTATTATATAAGCATAAAGAAAATCTTCGTCGAAAAAATTAATTACAGTGACATTAATTAGTAAATTACAGTAGTATTGTTAACATATCAATATACATATTTTTATCAGCATTTAGATATTATCACACAGCTACTTTATTGGGAACTGCACAATTATGAACATGACTTAGCAGAATTAAAAATATAATTTATTTACGTATGTAAATTGCGATTCAGAAGTGCTGAACAGAAATAGTAACAATATTGCAAAAGTAGTGTAATACCTATATTAACATACAAAAGATGACTTGCAAAGTGAGATCAGTACGTGCAATATTGTAAAAAAAAGTAATATTATTTCAAATACAATATATTTTTTAGTTGCACATATATTTCAAAATTATTTTGCAATTTTATCGATATTCATTATATACATATAATTTAAATTATTATATTTTGACTTAAAAATATTCAAATTATTGCAAAATAAAAATCAAACAGAAATGATTTTAATTTATAGTTTTCTACCCAAAATTTAATACGTTATCGTATACATTAATATTGCGACAAATAATTCGTTTAATGAACGTACAGAACTATAAGTTATTTCCTGAAGTATAGATAAATCATATCTATAGTTGTGACGCAGTGACTAGGACATTACATAATAATTAAATATGTAAAAAAAAGAAAGTTCCAATGCGAGCCACAAAATAAACGGAACTCGGTTCTCACAATTTAAAATCAAAATTTGTCTTTAGAAGAAAGCGAACGTTTCGATCCTTCTTTGGGTCTTTCTCAGTGAAAACTAAAACTTTTACGTTGGGTTTGACACCTCCTCAACAAGTTTTCCTTCCTTTTTTCCCGGTTTTAGTTACTTAATCCTCTTTATGTTTGGGCCCACATGGAGACTCACTGATACTAACACAGATAGAAGGATGACTCTAAAGTCACAGGGTTCACTGATTCTCTAAGATATTTCTTTATTCGGTCCAACCGAGGTATTCTTATCTCGAACTTTCGAAGATCTCATTTTAATTTTTACTGAGGACGACCTGAAGAAGAATCGAAACGTTTGTTTTCTTATTAAAGAGAAATTTTGATTTTAAATTGTGAGAACCGAGTTCCAATCATTTTGTGGCTCGCATTGGCATTTTCTCTTTTCTACATATTTTCTTTTTGGGAGCTCTCACAACACTTTGGTATAATAATTAAATTTTTTTTTATTTGAGATAAAGTCAATAATTGTCGATTAAGTATTTTTCCATAGATTTCTTAACATATTATAAAAAGCTTAATGTTGGGTGTAATATATAGTTTGTTTAAATATTGTTAACAGATATCAAAAATAATTTACGAGCACGTAATATTTGTTCTTGGAGTATATAATAAAATATTTTGTACCTGTGCAATAGTTTAGCAGCAATAGATTGAACAATTTTATACGCTAACAAGCTTTCTTATCCAATCTGCATTTAAAATGAAATGTTACGTGTGTTTTCTATGTTGCGATTTAGATTTTTGTATCGGTCAGTTATAATCCCTTTATGTAATTCATAATACATTTTGATTCATATTGTAATTACCATTCATTATAAACGATCAATCATTATGTAAAAGCGTTGCCGTTATATAAAAGGATTGGCATAAATGAGGAGCACGCCGTATTCAATATTCTGTAGAATGACGAACGCGTTATGTATACCAGGTATTGAGTACACTGTAGAATCATAGTGAGTCTCATGTAAATAGATATTCAGCATGTTTTTATAAATGTTTTTACGCTGAGGATCTCCAATAAAATATTTTTCTCTTTTTTTGCAAACGCAACTGTCTGTCTTCTCTCTTTCTCTCCGTTAATTTTATCTTATTGTTAGTATAATTTATATAATAAAAAGGCACAGCTACCGTGTTTTCCGAAATAATCAATTATAAATCTCGAGTCTAGTGAACTTCAACTTAATCGAAGACTGCTAAACAGTTTTAGTCAGCGTCGCTTTACCCCAAGTTTTTCTTGTTCTATTCTCTAAAAGTGAACGCGTTCATGTTCGAACACTCACACGTATCTGGTACGGCCAATCGACACATGTGAACCTGAGCGTATCTATTCGTGTCGTCGCCTACGCATTCTTAGCCGGCTCGGAAACCATTGGCTTAAAGAAACGTACAACGCACACGCAACATGCGTGCTCGCGTGCACATTTACACGCATATATGCTCGGCTACAACGTAAACTCGTCGCTGACTGGTAGATTAGATACGTTTTATCTTGCAGACACTGAAGCGCGAAAGACTGACTGGAGACACGAAGGAGTGAGAGAAGTGATTAACGCAAAGGCCGAACGCTCGAGTTCAGGGTGCACATGCTGAAGAGAGGAGGATCAGTATATGCGGAGATACAAGCGACACTATGAGGCCGTGGATGAACAAGTCGCTTAGCTTTGGAGTCTTGGGGCTCTTTCTGGTTGCCCTTGGCAATTCCCTGTGCTTCCTATGGCCGACGGTTTTCCATCAGATTCTTCAAAAAGTGAGTGCGTACTGTTACATTTATTCGTGATCAACAATCTGTTCTCATACATTTTCTGGCTTTGCAAAACGGTAAGACTTGTAATATTAAACAACGAACTTTCTCTTTCTCTTTCACGTAGTGTTAGATCAGTGAGTTTACCCGCGAGTATCTACTTTAACTGCTTTCCTTCGGTAAGTTAAACTTGAGGCGAATTTGTGTAAGAAATATTGACATTAACAATCTAATCTTGCTTATCTCAATGACACGATACGGTGACTTCTTGTCCATATCATCGCCAAGTCATAAATTTAATAAGAGAAACAAATTAAAAAGAAACAGTAGCTCACGAAATCGCGCGATTATTCGGACAAAATTCAGAAAAGACTTGACGCAAACACAGAAAGATTTACGACCCAATTAATATAAATTATACACAAATATATGATAAATTTATAACAGCGCTGTCGGTTTTGGAAAGATAATTCGCCATTCCAAAAAAAAGCTTATAAATACATATCATTGATTTATTTAATTATAAAATAATGAACAAATTCTAAATCGTATCTAAGAAGCAAGAATATTAGCTATATGAACAGGAAGTTAGCCACAAAAATCAGCTCTATTTTTACTTGATATCTGTATATCAAGTGTCAAATGTATATCACGTGTAGCGCCAAGATAACCTTTGCTTTCTTTAACCTATCTATTTCGTTATTCCGCCTGTAAATATTCTAGGTTGACACGAAGAAAGAGAGAGAGAGAGAGAGAGAGAGAGAGAGAGAGAGAGAGAGAGAGAGAGAGAGAGAGAGAGAATTTATGATTTAACATTTTTTATAGGTTAACCAAATATAATTCAGATATAGGTATTATACATGTGAGAAACAATTGTCGTCCGGAATTGTCTTTGTCTCATGTACTTAGGTGCCGACAAGGCAAAACGGTCCCGTTCGAAAATCTACGTGGACCAATAGTTAGTCCTTACATTAGGAGAATTGCTTTCTCGCGCAAGATACATAAATAGTAATAAAAACACAATAATATTGATCGCCCGTAGATGTGAGCCGCGCGGAAGATCGACATCGATCTTCTGTCAGTTTCAAAGTATTATCCCTCACGATATCCAATTATAAAAGTTTTAGTCCTCAAGGAAACGGCGCTGACGTTAAAACGTGTTGATGCTTTTCGAAGCGACGATTCATCATACTTATCGAATTTTTCTCAGAAAGAAATAAACACGCATGTCGCGCGTTTCTTATCCATAATCGCGGAAAATACGTTACACGTTTATGCATTAACGCGCCGCGCGTCACGCTGCATGCGAGGCATCATTTGCGATAAATAAGATCACTCGTTGAACTGGTTGAACTGGTCCACATACTATGCATTTAGCGACTGGACACTTGTCTCGGCGCTAGTCCCGGCCCGATTGGAAAAGTGGCCGATTGTCCCATTAATTGGCGTTCCTCTGTACCGCGCGGCACATCGCGAGCGGTTCCATTTCACGCGCCACCGGCAACATCATCGCGCACGAATAATCCCGATGTCGATAAAGGTAGAGAGATACTACACATGCTCTCGTGTCACGTCGCCCCCGTCTTTGTTCTTCTTGCTAATCACTCACGCAACCGACGCGCGACACGAAGATTATTAATTAACAGCTGCGCGACTAGATTTTTATTCCAGTTCAATCGCCAGCATATTCGATTCTTGTCGCGTTTCTTAATACAATTTGCAAGAGTATAACTTACAATTTGTTGGCAAGTGATCAACTTCGAGTGCAATATTATTTTCCAATCTTTACCTGGTTGTGCTGATACATTAATGTTACAATACGACGAGCGTTTCCTGTTGCATCGCGTCATAAGCAAGAAGCGAATAAGTTAAATTGTAAATCACATGTTTAATCGCAGTGTAAAAATAATTCATTGTCTTTTTAGATTTTTTGCGACTGCTCATTCAGAACAACGTGTCGTGCGAATTGTCATTTTTCTCGCATTCTTGTGATCGCGTGGATAGCTAATCATATTAACTATCAACTGTTGCGTGTATTCATCAACCGTAAAACGCGATCTGAATAGCTACTTAAGTGCCACTTTATAAGGAAATCATTTGCATTGTCATCATTACACTTGGGTGCAATCAGCGAAACCTCATCGGATTATAAAGCGACGATTGCTCGATCGTTGGCTACTGTTTCTCTTGTTTCTGTTAAATGTTTCTTCTCGTCTCTAGGAATTGGCCCTCTCACCGACTTCCAGGAGTTTCGAAGTATGGAAAGACACCACCCACTTACCACCGATGTTTCTAAAAATATACATGTTCAACTGGACCAATCCGGAGGAACTGAACGAAAAGAAACCTCACTTCAATCAACTTGGACCTTATTCTTTTAGGTAAGTAACCGGAATAAACAATTTCGATTATTGTTTTCGATTCATGAAACCGCGGTCAGAAAAAAAACACAATAAGAGAGCTCACTTTCTCATATATGTTTGACCAAAACTTCATATTAACTTAATTCTATTAGTTCGTTAAAAAAAAGTATCAAAATATTTAAATATCATTCTAAATATTCCGGTCGATAATCACGGAAATATAAAATTACGAGATCGTGTACGATCGACACGCGAGGCACTTCAGATAAGATAAAATTATGATCACATAGTAATTTATTATCGTTTCTGGACACAGCTCTTAATCACATATTTCTTATAAACACAGCAGAATTAATGTCTCATAAATTGCCAAATCTTCCAAAGAAATGGTTACTAAATAGACGGCTGAATTTTTAATAAAACTGATTGATCTTAAGAGGAAATGAACACTTTTAAAACTATCTATTACATAAATCATAATCTGTTTAAAAAAAATTACAAAATAAGTATGTAATTATTAATCTTGACATTGGAAAATTACAAGTTGCAAACAATATCTTGATTATCATAATTGATACAATTATCAGCGTTGTTGATAGCAATAAAATATCCGCAGGAAAAGATGCATGAAAATTCAACGTACTTCATATGTGATAAAGATTAAGTTATTACAATCAGACTATAAAATTACAATGCGAATCTAATGACGAGGACGAAGAGACAGTTAACCTCGTTATATTGACATCTTAATGAAAAAAAAAATATTGGTTCAATCGCGCGCGACGCGTAGGCGAGCTTGTATGAAGTAATTGACTAATTAATTACTTTCTTCTTGACGAACTGTAACAACGTGACTTGCCACCAATGAGCTTCTCCGCCTGAATCGCGGCCTACATTCGACTAGTTTACCTTGATATTTACACTAAAACCAGTACACTAATACAAACAACTTACAAAATCCGATCCGAAGTATCAATATTATCGGCATATTTCGCAATTTGCAGTTCGCAAGAATACACCTAACCACATGTTACGTGAAAAAATAAAAAGCATGACAGTAATCGTTAAAAGATTATGATAGTTCTTGTGAACTGCTTTCTCAATACAACCGACAAATTAAAACGGGTTACCGTAATAAAAAAATGGTAGTCATAAATTGGATCGCGAATTTCAAACGTATAACTGAAACTTGACGTTTCTTCAATTTTTCGATCAGTGATCAGGATTGTGCGTGGTTCAGCGAAATATAAACCGATGAACGTGTATTATATAACTTTTGTGCGACGGTCGTCAATTCGTGTGAATTAAACGAATGCATTTTTCAAGAGTATACAACAATTCACAAATAGACTTTCCCCACCCAAATTCCTTTCCTGTAATCCGCCCCTAATCTTGTGTCGGTAATATAAAGATTGCACCTTGACAATAAGAGACATTAGGTATGGTCATTATTGTTACATGCGGTACGTCCTGCTGCAGCAGGCAATTGCCCCGTTAATACTAATAAGCAAAACATGTAGGTCAGATGTCTAAACCGCGGTTGAATAAACGACATCAGAATTAACGACACGTACCAACCAACAAAATGTACAAATATGTATATACAAAAATAATGCAGAAAGTGCAAACAATTGTTTAATTTTAATTTCCATAAAATAGAATTGCGGAACGTTTACACTCAATTTGTATTTTATTACTCTTCTAATTTATGAATTTGCAAATAATGCTAGACAAGAGAGATGTTTGACCGCACTCGAGACAAAATAAAGGTGAAAGAAATCGCATTAATGTAACTTTGAATTGCAGGGAAATAAGGCAAAAGGATAACATCAAGTTCCATCATGAGAACAGCACTGTCAGCTATACGCAACGACGGTTATGGTACTTCGATGCTAGTGAGAGCAATGGAAGTCTCAGCGACATCATTACCAATTTGGACAGCGTCGCTCTGGTGAGCTGCCTTATTGCAATCTTTTGTGTCGCGTGCTCAGTACAATAAATTGAATTCTCAATATCAATCACGTGTAATCACGTAGGTATATCGGGGGGCATCACGTATATCGTAACCAGGTGAAACCTGAAGATGTGTTCAGATGTGTTCAGATGTTCCTTGCTTTTTTAAAATTCTGTCCTGACAAAAATGGAACCACGATAAATTCGGGGAAAAAATGACGATGCTATATTATTTTTTTTTTGCAGTCAGGAGTGCACAAAATTCGATATTGGGATCCCGACTGGCAAAAATCACTATCTTTTCTCTTGAGTAGTACCAACCGACGATATTACACTAGCAAAACAGTAGACGAACTGCTGTTTACAGGTTACACCGACAGTTTGCTGACTATGGGCAAAGTTATGCCTATGGAGGACGTTCCGTCTTTCGACCGATTTGGCTGGTTCTACATGGTAGGTCTGCCAATAAAACAGAGTATTTTCACCCTTCTTATTAGCGACTTCACCTTTAGCCGTCCGCGCAGATTAAAAAAAGCATCGTAATTCACGGGATGTATTCAATTAAATGCATTTGAAGGGCTTGTTTGACTTATCGTTTAGTTTCCTGCACAGTGCTGTTAATTGTGCTTCCTCATAAAGTAAGCTTAGTTTTCGTGAAAAAAATTGCATTGCCAATGTGTTTAGAATGTTCCAAAATGTCGAAAAATCACATTATTTTATTCGCTTTAAGTATTATTACTCTTATTATTACTTAAGTATTATTATTTATCATATTATTATATATATTATCACTCTATTATCACGTACATATTGTTATCACTCTGTCTCGAAATACTGGAAAACCAGATGTCTCCCGCTTATCACTTAATAATTTTATAATTCATCTCTTTCGCAAACAGTTTGAAGTGCTTATATTAAAGATAACACTTGGCATTGGGAATTGCTATGAGCAATGCAAAAGCTATTAATATCAAGCAAATAGTGCGTGGAGCATTTGAGTTCCATGGTACTAGGCAATGGCGTTACAGTTGATGGTAGAGTACTTGTAACCAGGTTTAAATTGGTAATGAATGGAAGAGATCGCATATGGGTCGCGTCGCGTAGCGAATGAAACGTCTGAAGATATATTATGTGTCATGCCGATGTTACTAGTATGCAAAAAATATATTGTGGTTGATTAACACAAAAGGGCATATCTCTAAACATATTAAGAAGACGACTAACAAAGTACGATTACATTATTGAGACAACTGGTTCTCGTAGAGATTATGATAGCACGCATCGCACATGTGACAAATAAAGTAAATCGCTGTTTTATATCGGCGCTGATAAAAATGTTAAAGAAAAACAGACAAACATAAATTTTTGTTGACAAGTTATCGACTCGCAATATAATATATATACTAGGCGTATTTTTAGGTACCGATATAATTAGTCACAGGTTACAAAGATAATTACCAGACAAGGGACGTGCCACAATTTATCGCAATGTTTTAATTGTGCAGAGAAATGGTAGCACCGAGTTGGACGGGTACTTGAATATGGAAACGGGCGAGCATGACATTAGCCAGTTGGGAATGATGAGAAAATGGAACTATAGAGATACAGTGAAATTCTTCAAGAGTCCTTGCAATGTTATCGAAGGCAGCGCGGGTGAATTTTGGCCACCCGGTAGAACGAAAGATGAGATCACCTTGTTCAGCGCAGAACTATGTCGGTTAGTCCAAAAATGTTATCAAGTTTAAAAAATAAAAATAATTGTGACACATTTAACACCGTGTTTATGCACCGCCAATATTCGGCCACAGAATCAAATAATAGTCATCGAGAGATATCAAGATTTTAATCCCAAATGTCAGGCAATCCAGTCCCTAGTTTCAACGCCGTCTAAATAATAATTAGATTTTAAGCAGTATCTTTATTAAAATTAAAAAAGTATTGAATTAAAGAAAAACTTGATTTAATTATATGCGGCGCTTACAAGTTGTCAACATTTTCTAACTTACAAAACTAATCATCCGGTGAGCACCAAGTAACAGTTATTAGTATAACATCAATATTATAATTTCCTACTCAATTATGTAAATATTATTTCCATGAATATTGTGTTACATTTACATTATTATGTAAAAAATTATAATATTGATATTACTTAACTGTCACTTGGTGTTAATGGGCGTCAATTGTAAAAACTATACGTTTCGACGTAATTTAAAAACATACGTATCACTTATCTATTTGAACTAAAGAAATACTGCCAACTCGAAACATATTTAGACGAGTCAACTTTTTTTCTCAGTGTAGTAAACATACATTCACGAGATAACTACATTTATCAATTGGGCTTAATTATTATATCTTCAAACCTCCCTACCAGCGTAAGCATAATCTAGCGCCACTCGCAACATCATCAACTTTCTGTTGGCGATTATCCCAAAGTTTTATGTATTGGTGCGATATTTATCACAAAATTTGGACTTGTAAACTTATCTTTTCGATTTTCTTTTCCATATTATTTCAGGTCGTTAATCTACGAATACGAGGGAACGGTATCTCATTTCGGCCTCGAGGGCTATCGATATGTCCTCGACAGGAAGACTCTCGGCAACGATACGAGACGACGTTACCCACATGAGCAAGCGAAATATTTTGAGCCAACCACGACAACCGAGGACTTCTTCTCGGCCGCGCATCTACCCGAGACTGGATTTACGACTACCGAAAGCGCCTCCGAACGGAATTCGAATGAGTATTCGGACGACGATCCCGATATCATTAACATGGGCCATTGCTACTGCAGCGGCGAGTGCACGCCGTCGGGTCTAATAAACGTGAGCGCGTGCCGTTACGGTGCGCCGGCCTTCATCAGTCTACCTCATTTTCACAAGGGTGATCCTGTGCTCCTTGACCAAGTCGACGGACTGGCACCCAATGACAAGGATCACAGCTTCTCCATCACCCTCGAACCCGTGAGTAGCGAACCGGCGGGTCGTTTTTACAGCGCAAACGATAAATCAGCCGCGGTAGAAATAACGAGGCGGTCAGTCAACCCCGCGCGCGGTACTGTCAAGATACTAATTTTACTATCGCCTTTCATCCGGCCTATCGAGCACGGAGGATGTGGCGCTGCCGCTATAATACGCGCTATTGAGAAAGCAATCGCGTCGCATCGCTCCTATAGCTTTGTGTTACACGATACAGCACTCAGGCATTTAAATATAAATGTTTTCTACAAAGTACGCTCGATGTTTTAGATGACGGGACTTCCTGTAAATGTAGTGGCTAGACTTCAAATCAATCTTCTATTGCAGCCATCGGAGACAGTGACGTAAGTACATAAGCGATTAAAGAAACGTTAAATAACAAGAACAAAACTCACAGTCATATATGTTCGCGATCTTGTCTACTATTGGCCGCAATCAAATGAGAGGAAAAACATGTCTGTCTAGACTTTACCACAATGTGCCCAAGATATACATGCCGATGTTTTGGTTCGAGCTGCAGGTGCAAGTTAGCGAGGAGATGGCTTCCAATTTAAGCAAATTGCTAGCATTGCCAATCGTGATGCTAAGTGTCGGAATAATTATGATAATCATTGGATTAGGTTTAATTGGTGTTGTAGCGTTTCTGTATCTCAAGAAGAAACGACGTGTGCCCCAGACGGTGCGTATATAATTCATAAAACTCTTTTCGCGGCTGAGCGAAGATTATTTTGGAAAGTACCTTTTTATCGCAACTGTCACGCACAATTTTACAGGAAACCGCGCCAGAAAAAGCAGTCGACGAATCGCCTGATAAGAAAACGGAAATGGTGTATATGGATAAAACGGGCACCAATGAGGACCCCAACATCAGAGGCGATCGTCGTTTGTACTCGAAACTCTACTGAATATAGTGAACCTCTACTCTCTGCAGGGAGAGCTTCGTCTCAAATGAAACATCAGCATGGGAAAAATGTGCAATTGAAGGGTAATTTTGTCACAAAAAAGATTACTAGGACGTTTGTAAAGTAAATTTTTCTGTCTCAGCTCCGCTACAACAAATGGGGATTTGATTGTTAGTGGGATGTAAGAAATATGCACGTCGACAGAATTATTTTATGTGTGCATGGTTGTAGGTAGATCCACGTCGAGTTTTTGTATGTGCACACGTATATATGTTAATATATTATATATAATCCGCAAAAAATCATAAGTATCTGCAGAAAACGCAGGAACCAATAATGGAAGCAAGGGTAATTACGATAATCACTGTATATTATCTTGCTTGTACATACGGACCAACATTCGCAAACGGGTCTTTCTCGTGTAAACGTGTTGATAACGTTTACATAAAAGAACTTGAACCAATATTCCTAATTCAAGAAAAATAGATTCCTAATACACGTACAAATAATATATAATTTTGTTACTACGTCTCCATCTTGATTGAGATATAAATCTTTTAGACATAAATGTCCAATAGATAAAACGTCATACCCGATATCTAGAACAATTCTTCGTGCGAAAAGGGAGAGATTACGTATCATATAAATTGTGTATTTTTTCGCAAGAAGGAACAACTGAACACTTTCTATTTTTTCTTTTAATGAAGATCTTATTAAGTTAACGCGAATAACAGACCCACCGTGATCGTTACATTCCCTACATGGATTGAATGATATCATCTTTATAAAACATTAATTTGGTATAAGGATTTGGTTAAGACTGACGAAATCGCGCGCGCTAATTGTGTAGCAGAAGTTTTATATCGAATTCGGTTGCTCGCATTAGTGCGCACTACAGTCCATTCCTAAGGATCGCCTGAAATACCTCTTGAAACATTTCTTAGAGAATAAAATGATTTGTACAGCATCTGTACGGATCATTATTTGGCTTAATAGTTTATGAATATATATATTTAAAAAATTTACATATAAGAATTAATTATAAACAACTCTTAGTGTGCACTTGGTGCGCACTAGTGCAAGCAACCGAATTCGCTGTTAGTTATATTCTCCTCTCGATTCAATAGATTATTCTATAGACACGCAATTAAAATACGATCAACAAGTAGCGAGTCAAATTGCTGAATTTATTTTGATCCGGCTATTCTGCAGAATTGCAGAAGTAAACCCGAAATTATCTCGGTCACAGACTGTAAATAATTACACGTTATTCTATAGACAAGCTATTGTATAAACTGATTTATACTATCTGCGTCAAAACATACAATTAATGCTGTGATTGAACGCAAACGAACGAAAAGATAAAAGAAAGGATGCAAAATGCTTTACAATAAGCATGCGGTGCTGCGATAAATCCGAATTTATGTTTTGTTCGAGCAAAAATAAAATACGATTTGTATCTCTGTTAAATTTAGACATTTAGTTATATTAATATTTAAGGCGCACGATATATACAATTTATACAACGAATTACGTCAATATTTAGATATATATATATACATATACAGGGTAAATCATCTCCTATGCTAAAAGGTTGGTGCAACCACTCTGATTCACCCTGTATATATATGTATACATGTACAAACTATATATGTAATGTATAATATACTATCGCAGATCTAATGTGTATAATACGCTATTCTTGTACCGCAGAATATCGGCGTGTCTTGAGATATCGTTACCGTGCGGATTCGCTGTTCTGTTCAGATAGATATTTAGATAGTGTTGCAACACAACGTCGAGATAATGTTATGCTTCCTCGTGCGAAGTACATGTATACAATGGGATCAAAATGTAAAATTATCTCGCTTATATAATTAGTAGAATCCACCAATTATGTTATATATTTGTTAACAATTTTTATGACTTGTTACCATTGCGCAACATACACCACAGTCCAAAGTTACGTAGGTTATTGTTTATCGTTCTACCTGTAATGCTTTGCAAGATAAGTTGTGTGACAAAATTTGTGATATACTCGGAGTTATCTTATTTGTATTTGTATAAAAAAAACAACCGTTTATAAGTGCCAATAATTTAGGCTAAGCGTTATGTATCCAGCCTGAGAGTCGCGATGTTATCGACATTAATGTGACTTTAGATAAGTGCAATCAGAATGTGAAAGTGTATTGTATGTTTCATGTCCAAATACATTGGCCGTGTTTCACTGGACATTTTATACTGTATTTTAATAAAATGTTTCTATACTATTTTTAGTATCTGTTAAATGAGCGATACTTCGTTTCACCAAGCGACTTCGATTCATTGCATTTTACACGGTAAGAGATTTTTAATCGGTCAGTATTTTTCATCGCGTAAAATCAAAAGCTTCCTCAAAACTTATTAAAGTCTCTTTCTTCTATATTTTCAATTAACGCGCGCCCGCCAGTGACTACATCTCGGTCTCGTAAATATTTTGTCCTTCTTAGACAACGGTTGGATTCGCGTGTAAAGACATCGACTATGATCATCAATTGCTAACGTAACTTACTACATTATAGACGTACGGTAACGTATTCCCGTTAAAAATTTGGACATTTTTAATTGCGGAAACTGCACATTTATCGTCGACAATTACACCTGATTAAATAAAAAAATGTCGAAACATCAAATGCATGTACTTAAGATATAAGATTTGTTTGTCATGCCGCACTTGTACGCCATTACACGCGCAAGTCTGTCTAACGTCATTAAACAACGAGTTGCATAATTCCAATCGAGCTGGTGGATCTGCCGCATCGTGCGCAAGTAAGACTACGTTAATTATCGTCGCGCAAGTGTAGTTTATAGAAAAAACGTGTCGACAGCAGGTTTCCAAAAGTAAAACGTCGAGTTGATGAAGAACTCGTGGGACATTAAGTATTGTGTGCCTACTACCGATTATCGTGACCTAATGTCTCTTGTCTCCTACAAACAATCACGTCTAAAAATGATCGAGTCGCCGAGTGCATTTACGCGCGGTGACATCGGGTACGACTGACGAAATGTGCAACGGCATGAACGCTCGTTTACGAAAGTAAAAAAATCTCTACTGGTGGCATAACCTCTAATTTCTCTTCTTTTAACAATACTTGTTTTTAATTGCACTTCCAAATAATACTATCATACTTCAATCCTGAACACTGATGAAATAAGAGGGGAGGCTGAGGCTTAAATGGTCAGCAAGTACATATTCACATCTCCATAAAAATCTCTTGAAAAGTTATCAATAGTCCACGAATTAATTGACAACTGTACGGTGTTTTCTAACGCTTTCTTTAACATCTTATTTCCACTTGTTACTAATTCGACACAATGTGCATATCTTCCTTCACATTTTAAATGTCAATATGTTACATTGTAATATAATTATATTTTTTAACTATACGAAACTATTGACGAATCTTATTAGCACGATTCTATTGAGATTTTATATCGCAACATTACATAATCTCTCGACAGATAAATTATACAGACGCTTAAGCCTCTAGCTCTATTTAAGAGAGAGAAACGACGAGAGGCGTGGGAGTTTTATCCTTCGCAGAAGACCAATTATCGATTTAGCTCCCTCACGCCATTGTCCCCCTTTTAAAATAACTCGTTCGCATTGTAAGTTATATAGCGATTACTCGTAAAGACCGAGTTTTAACAGCAATTAATTTGCCGCCTTTTCCAGATACGCAATTAAGCCAACAGCACACGATACTATTTTTTTCTACTGGGTTGCTTACGACAGACAATCGGAATGCAGAGTTATAGATCGGGTGACCTAAGGCTAAATCTTGATTAGCTTTCGTAAGCAATCCAGTAGAAAAAACAGTAAGGTAGTGGCACCAGATATCGCCCACCCTAACTATTTTTTTATTCCTGTGGTCACAAAAACGGCCGAAAAAAGTTCTGATAGAGCTTAAAATGACGGCCAGACATCACTTTATTTGTCACCAGCTCGAAAATGTTGTAAGCGTTTAGTAACTTAGTTTTTTCGCAAATTTTGTAACAGAATGGAAAGTGCCATTTTTTGAAACGCGTTCCTAATATGGCCTACTTGTGAGCTTAATATTAAATTAAGTGTTAATAATAATTGTTAGCATTGTGTTTCGACGTTTAATTGTAATACCATCATTCGATTCTCTGATTCATACTCTCTAACGTGGTACTCTTGGATTTGGAAAAAAAACAAGCAATAATACAACTACAGTATTTCCCGTAAGCCTCTGTCGCTAAATCAGCCGACGTCATTTTATAAAAGTGTCATTATCGATACAATTATATTAAAAATACCGGTGTTGTTCATAAAATAAGCTAATTATCAGGGTTGAGAAGTAACTTGTCACTTGTAACGAAGTTACAATTACAGTTACTTCTTTTTGGCAACACTACCTTAACTTCGTTGCTTTTTCTCCATCTGTAACTGTAACTTAACTCAGTTACATTTTTTCGCTAACTAGTAACTAATTTAATAGTTACATTAATAGTTACTTTATATATTTTTTAAACCTTCACTTAATCGCATAGGCCTTGCCTTTGCGTATAAGCGCCTACCTAGAAGCACAATTCATTGGCTGTACATTGGCTAACATTGGTTAAACATTGGTTATGCTGGCAGTAAACTGGTCAATATTTCCCCAATATAACACCAATATTGGTAATAAAATAAATGCAAATATACTACCGATATTGTACCTAGATGATTATTTATTATCGGATTGATTGTATTAGCAAGATTGCCCAATAAAATTGTAATATTGAGTATAGAATAAATACTAGTGTAACGCCGATGTTACGTATCAATAATTGCACGGTACTGTGTTTACATTGAAAGTGCATTGCAAAAATGTGAGGCCCTCCACCACCCCCGCCGCGTTTAATCGACGGTCCTCTTTTCTTTACAATTTGATTTCTTACATTTTTATTATTTATTTAATTTTTCTTATACCTTACTTTACAATACACTTACAATATTATAAAAGAAATAATGACATTACAAATTTAAAAATAAAATATCTGTACAATACCTACAATATTTCTATTGATGTTATACGAGTATATATGAAATATTCGGTATACGTACAATAACACAAAAGTCTTTTTACGTACTTATTATATTAACGTTATTGTTACTTCGTTAATTTACGTTACCTAATTTTTTAAACTATCGAATTATGTCCTCCTATCCCTGACTATCCGAATCCTTACCTATCCGTATTCCGATTTATAGACCTACCTACCCGTGTTTCAACATAATGAACCTACAAATCTTTAATTAACCGCGACGCGATTTTCTAGAGGTTTGACTTGGAGTTTAACACGCCCGCGGGATTTAATAGGGGTTTCACTCTCGCACATATGCGAGAATGTATGTATATAGAAGTATAACCCACCCGAATTGTAACAAATCAAAATAAATCAAAGTATACTTCGTACAGCACCTTACTTAGGTACTCCATCAAAGTGGTCAATATTGACCACTTACCTCGTCGTATTTAGTCCTTCGTTGGGCCAGATTGGACATACCTTTCGTTGCTCCCGGCCATACAATCTGGTCATTTTGACCAGAGATCAGGAAGGAAGAAAACTTCTTCCATAGTCGGTTATCATCACCAACAAATATTTCGTACGGTTCGAATATACGAGTGTCGATCGTATCGAAAAATGCACAACCACGGGAGGTTAATTAAAGAAGAATATTAATTAAAAAAATTTTACTGTATATACGAATCAAATTTAACTTTACTTCCGTTATTTATTAAAAAATATTTACCATCTCTTCGTAACTTGATTTTTTAATTCAAAATTCACGTAGATATAGAAAAAAATTTACTTCGCGTTAGAGTGATTTTAATCTAACTGATCTTTGATAAAATTAAATTTATAATATCGATACAATTAAATAATTTATAATTTATTGAAAATTTTTTTGAAAACTCGATCGCGAAAACCGACCGCGTAAACCGACCGCGAAGATGCGTGTAATTGCGCATGTCGTTCATGCGATACGCATCTTGAAAATACATATATCAAATCAAATATAAAAAATATCAAAAATAAATGGATAGGTTACAAAAAATTAGCTCGACAAATACAGCAAGACTATATTTGCCAAGCCATATTTTGTATAATTTTTGCAACAATTCTCAAGATGGAAAGTAAATTCAACATATCGTAATATGTGCAATAGAGTTTCATCAGATTAAAAGAATGTAAAAGAAAATTAAAGGCCCTGCTGCAGAAAAGAATGAATCCCAGATCTTTCGGATTACTTCCGATAGCGGTCATTTCGGCAGGGAGTTAACGACGATCGTTTCTCAAATCATCAATCTCGTATATTTTCAGTTTTATTGAAATAAAAATTATTCTTCCATTATTACTGTTAATGGGAGAATATTTGTGGAGAAGAACATACATAAAATCTTCTCTTCTTTTTTTTGTTAATTTCGCGAATCGACGTCGCGCCCTCGTGCCGAAACCGTTGCTTTCGGGGATCCGTGACAAAGAAAACCAGGGATTAACTCTGGTTATCCAACAAGGTCTTTAATCTTCACGGGAAAAGGAAAATTAAAACTAATCCAAATTCAAGGTCCTCGCTGCAAGAAAGAATGAATCCCAGATCTTCCGGATTACCTCCGATAGCGGTCATTTTGGCAGGGAGTTAACGACGATCGTTTCTCAAATCATGCAATCTCGTATATTTTCAGTTTTATTAAAATAAAAATTATTCTTCCATTATTAGTGTTAATGGGAGAATATTTATGGAGAAGGATATATACATAAACTCTTCTCTTCTTTTTTTTTATTATAATTTCGCGAATCGACGTCGCGCCCTCGTGCCAAAACCGTTGCTTTCGGATATCCGTGACAAAGAAAACCAGGGATTAACTCTAGTTCTCCAACAAGGTTATCAATCTTAAATAGACAATGGAAAAGTTTCATAAACTAATCCAAAGTCATATTTCGCGTAATTTTTGCTTCTAAAAATCTCTACCACTCATTTCTGATATGTTGAATATTTTAAATAAAACATTAAATGCCGTAATTATTTTATTATTATCACCTATCCATTTTCAGGAAACGAATCTACGAGATATATTTTACTACGATCTACCATCTACAATCTACTATCTACAATCTACAATCTACGATTTAAGAGGTGTAGATTCGTTTCCTTAATAAACAAAATTCTCACTCACCGACCCGATGCGCAGCAGCGGAGTTGTTGTCTATCTGTAACACA